TTTTTTTTTTTTTTTTTTTTTTTTTCTTACGAAATTGTAAGTGTTTGGACAATTTTTCGTCGACGGACTTTCGTCCATCTCTTTACAGTTTAAAATTCACAGAATAATCGCAATTCAATTTCTTTTTGTCGCAGATGTAGACGTAGTAACGTCAATGTAATCGCAACTTCAAAAGCTGAACAATCGTATGATATAACAAGAACTTTGTATGCAGGAACTTTGCATTGCACGATTCCCCCTTGTTTACATCATTGACTCGACGATACCACCGGAGAAGGAGTTATCATTGGCGGTAGTGAAATTGATGACCGAATTCTTTTCAACGTTGAAGAACTATCGTTCCTCGCGATAATGCTCATTATTCTTCGTCGTTACCGCTATCGCCATAATTGCGAATGAAATGTTAGCTCGGGCGAGTGTTTAGCTTCTTCGATGTTACAACGATATTTACAATACGTAAATTGGTCTAAAATTTATCTTACAGATAGAAATATTAATTATTTGTATCAAATGTATAAATATTCACAAGTGCTTGTAGCTGGTACGAATAGCATAAATATAAATTTTTGAATATTTTCAAGTGTTTACGTACGCGTAGACATAGGAATTTGCAAATTATACGTACAAGCGCAATTTGAAAACATAATCACTCGTTTGAATATCAGTATATTGCAAACTTGAACGTTTTGAAACATTTTGAAGCATTTGAAAATTTGATGTTCGATAAATTCGAACGTCAGCTCACAGTTGAGCGTCCAATATTTTCAATCAACTTGACAAACAAGAGCTTACTCCTCCCTGGAACGTTTCATTTTCTTGAGGTGATTGTTTGAAATTACGAATCGTTTCTTAATCGTTGTGAATGTTGCACACGGATCTCGTTGCCATTTTGTCGACGATTTCCTCTTCTTCGAATCTTTCTTTACGTCGCTATAGTCAATAACTCTGAAACAACTTTGCCATTACAGTGTCTGTCGATATTCTTACGCTGATAAATTTTTAAACTCGACTTTCTCGAGAACGAAGGCTATAGTGAAAAAATTTTTATTCTTTCGATTCGTTCTTTCTCGGTTGTACCACCTGTACATAAATCGTTTTTTTATTACTCATTTTTATTACGAATCTGAGTTGTTTATTAATTATATTATTTATTAATTATTTGCAATTATATTTATGCTTATAGTTATTATGAATACGAGTCATTTACTTGTGCCCTTTTGTTAAACAAAGATTTCTTGAGCGCAAGTCCGTTTCGCGGCCTCGTGACAGATTTAAAGTAGGTCAAATGATTTGGAACAATCCTTGCTGAATCGTATTAATCGATCGATATCACGAAAAATACATTGTCTGTAGTTGCGCGAAACAAATGGGCAAATGGAACTGAAAGTTTTATCTAGTTCCTTGTATCGCGAAACGATATTGCGTTCGCAGTGTAAATTATGATCCAAATGGAAAGCATATATCCTGATTGCAACGTCGAAAGCAAGATACAGATTTCCTAGGGTTTCAAGATTCCCAGCATTAAATTTCTCCTTTATTCGTAAATTCGTGATGTCCCGAAATTTTCATTCAGTTCTCAAGACTTTTTTTATTCTTACATTCTCGAATGCTCGGATCTGTAAGTTCTGGCGTACCCAAAGTTCACAAATTCCCCTCCGAACTCCGAAATTCTTCAAACACCAAGTTCCCGAATTTATACATGTCTCAAAGTTGTTTTTTTTTTTTTCTTCAAACTTTTGCACTTCTGAAAATTCTCCAAATGTCTCCAGACTCTTTCAATTTTCGAATTCCCGGACTTTCGCGGACTGAAATTAGAAATTAGCGATTAATCGAAAGTAAGTTTGTCTCTGAGATCCTAACTGCAGTAGATCGAAAGGATCGATGTTTATGATAACTACCGATGATCAAGCGCACAATTAGAACGGCAAACAGCCACACAGACCCTGAGAGGCTTTCGCGCGATTTACAGAGTCGTCGATCGTTGAATATCGAATACCATTCTCCTTCGACGTGGTAATTCTCCAATTTACGGTAAACCTTTTACAAGTGCAAACGGATCGACGATCACGTTCTCGTTTGGCACAGAAACGTTTTTATACGATCCATGAACGAGCCGTGTGCTGGTGTATTTTGTTGGACGAATAACGCCGGATGGAATCGTTAACAGGAAGCAAAGGGTGGATTCTGCTTGCGTGGGGTCACGGCCATTATATGGGTAAATTCTCCGTTTCAAGAAGAGTTTACCGTGACACGTATTACATATGGTAACGTGGTGGATGAATGGATTTTTCACGCTATTTGTCTTTTAAAATGTGAAAAATTCGTATGCAATAAATCTTATATTTGATGGACATCATTCAAGAAAATGAAGACCAATTGTTTTATATAATTGTATATAAAGTGCGTAATGATCTGCAATCAAATTCTAGGGAATTGTTAGTACAGTTGAACCAAATAAATTTAATATCATTTGATTTATCTACTTTGAATCAAGTTAAGTCAGTACTTGAATCATAATAGAGTTTCCTATAGTTTCTAGAGTTAGTAATTATAATTTCAAATCAACATCTATTTCATTCGACGAAGTATCTGAGTAGTCTCATTAA